AATGCCTTACTGAAGTCAGTGTAAATAACATCCGTCTGCAAGTTACTTTGGAAGCCTTTAATTACAAAGGAGGTGAACTCTAAAAGATTAGTGGTTGTTGATCGTCGCCGTATAAATCCGTGCTGAGCTGGAGATATAAGTGATTTGCAGAGATGCTGCAAGTGCGGAGTTAAAAGTTTCTCGAACATTTTAGGAATAGCGGATAACTTAGATATACCTCTATAGTTTTTAGCGTCAGATTTGCTACCTTTCTTATGGAGAGGAATTATAAAGGATTCCTTCCAGATGGGGGGAAAGCTAGAAGAATGGATAGATAGAGTGAATAGTTTAAGCAAAGGTCCGCAGAGAGACTCGGCACAGTACCTGAGTACACAGCCGGGAACTCCGTCAGGGCCCGGTGAGAATACCGGCTTAACTAATTGAAGTTCATGAAGTAAGGAGCCTTCATTTAACAAAGGGCAGAAAATGCCATTCGACCTTGGTAAACTATATGGATACATATGACCTGGGTAGCTTTCCTGGGAATATGTGGTTTGAAAAAATTTTGCAAAAAGATCGGCGATTGCCTGATCATTGTTTGCCGACATATTCAAAAATGATAGCGAGGATGGATGTGCGGACGTTCTACGCTTACTGTTTACGAAGCTGTAAAACTGTTTAGGGTCCTTTGAAAAACGTATCCTGCATCGAAGGAGGTAGTTCCTATAGCATTGAGCATTAAGAACAGTGAAGTTTGACCGAGCTATTAAGTAATTAGAAAGAGAAGAGGGAGAACCAACTTCTTGAGCTTTTTTAAATAGTCTTGATTTTAGATTTTTTAGACTGGATAACTCTTTGGTGAACCAAGGAGGTTTCGCAGATCTAGTCGGACATGAAAGTGGGACACACGTGTCAAAAATTGTGTCAAGTACATTATAAAAAATGTTTGTGCCTTCAATGACGTCACTGCACAAGTACAGAGCGGACCAATCAAAATTTCGAATTAAGTTATTGAGCTTCGTAAACTCGGCTTTACGAAAGCAGCGGACGCGTTCAGATAGCCTACCCGCACGATCCGATACAGTAGGTCCAATATCTATCGACACTTCGAAAGTAGGATGATAGCAGTCTTCAGGTATAGTGAGCGGGAGTGCTCGTGTTAACAACGCTACGGTCGGATCCGAGACAAAGCACAGATCAAGCAATCGACCCAAGGAGTTTTTTACATGGTTGACTTGAGACAGGGACAGGTCTAATAAGCCATCAATAAACTCATGTCGTGACATGGGCACAAGGTTGTTTGACTCGTTAACCGAAGACCAGACAGTACCTGGCAGGTTGAAATCCCCAAGAACTATTAAATGGTCTTTATCTGATAGCGAGGAAGAAACAGTTTTTAAGGCAGACAAATGCTGCTCGTATATTAGTACATCCGAAGACGGTGGAATATACGAGCAAGTGACATAAATAGACTGGCCGGGAAGAATCAGTCTAACACAGAGGAATTCCAGGTCTTGTGAGACCTGGACTATGAAAAGTTCCGACGTAAAGTTAGAGTTTACTGCAATCAGAACCCCTCCTCCACGTCGAGACGAACGATCATTCCTATAAATTGTGTACCGATCTGCCAAAACTTCGGAACTAAGAATGTCCGGCTTTAACCAGGTTTCGGTAAAAACAATAACATGGGATGAAAATGTGAAACTATCCATAAAAAGAGTGCTCAGCTTACTACGTAAGCCGCGAGCATTTTGATAGGCTACAAAGAGGGATGTTAGTTTTTTGACTGCAAGGAATTGCAGTGGGAAGAGGGGAATGGAGCAGAGGAGGAAGGACCACTGGCCTCACTACTAGGAAGAGTTATGGGGGGCCTATTTTTCTTCTTAGCCTTAAACTCTTTCACAACCAGGTGCTCTGGCCAAAATTTGGAAGAGCAAATGGTCCCGAAATGAGTTGGAGACACGCTAATCTTGAAAGAGGATATCTCCCTGGCATATGAGAAATTAAACTTCTCCACCTTTAAGCCAACGGCTTTTATTTTGCTTTGTATAAAAGCAGTTACATCATTAGATGTGAGGTCAGGGGCAAGCCGAGAGACAAAAACTTGCCGCTTTGGTGGGACTCCCACCAGAGGTTTTGGCACCACAGATCTGGTACCTGTGACGGCAATATCCGGTGGTCCGGGACGTTTATTAACTGGTGGGATCGNAAGAAACAGTTTTTAAGGCAGACAAATGCTGCTCGTATATTAGTACATCCGAAGACGGTGGAATATACGAGCAAGTGACATAAATAGACTGGCCGGGAAGAATCAGTCTAACACAGAGGAATTCCAGGTCTTGTGAGACCTGGACTATGAAAAGTTCCGACGTAAAGTTAGAGTTTACTGCAATCAGAACCCCTCCTCCACGTCGAGACGAACGATCATTCCTATAAATTGTGTACCGATCTGCCAAAACTTCGGAACTAAGAATGTCCGGCTTTAACCAGGTTTCGGTAAAAACAATAACATGGGATGAAAATGTGAAACTATCCATAAAAAGAGTGCTCAGCTTACTACGTAAGCCGCGAGCATTTTGATAGGCTACAAAGAGGGATGTTAGTTTTTTGACTGCAAGGAATTGCAGTGGGAAGAGGGGAATGGAGCAGAGGAGGAAGGACCACTGGCCTCACTACTAGGAAGAGTTATGGGGGGCCTATTTTTCTTCTTAGCCTTAAACTCTTTCACAACCAGGTGCTCTGGCCAAAATTTGGAAGAGCAAATGGTCCCGAAATGAGTTGGAGACACGCTAATCTTGAAAGAGGATATCTCCCTGGCATATGAGAAATTAAACTTCTCCACCTTTAAGCCAACGGCTTTTATTTTGCTTTGTATAAAAGCAGTTACATCATTAGATGTGAGGTCAGGGGCAAGCCGAGAGACAAAAACTTGCCGCTTTGGTGGGACTCCCACCAGAGGTTTTGGCACCACAGATCTGGTACCTGTGACGGCAATATCCGGTGGTCCGGGACGTTTATTAACTGGTGGGATCGAAATAGATGGGATGGGCTTTGGAACGGACTCGACAGACACGGACGCTACAGTACTAACTGGCTGCATGTTCTCCGAGATGATCGATTCGGAAGCCGAAACTTGATCACCAGCAGTTGTCGTTGCCCTTGGAGTAGCGAACGAAATTAGCTGCTGCACTATCGGAGTGGACGGAGACAGTTGATCAGCAGCGAGCGGTCGAGGGACAGGCACTTGCAGATCACGAGGAGTGACTTTTTTGCGCCTAGGAGACTCATTCAGCACTTTAAAACTGCTGAATTGAGATTCCATGGCTAGAAGCCGATCGTACTGCTTTTTAAAGCCCACGGTCAGCTCCTTAAAGCCCTTTCGCGTCTGCCTCATAAACGTGACCATGTCATTCTCGATAGACCGACATGCCTCGCAACTGTAATGCAGACCATTACGCTTCGAAATTGCGTCACCCACGAGGCCTGAGAACCCAATACATTTTGCGTGCACTACGTTATCGCAGAGCCAGCAAGGGATGATCGGCTGGTCGTGGGTGATCTGCTTTTTGCAAGCCTTAGCGGAGCACACAACCAAGTATTCCATTATTTTATTATTTATTTTGAATATATAAATAAATAAAATAAATAAAATAAATAAAAATTATTTTCACAAAACAAATAGCAATGGGACCAGTGTGCCGACCAATTGCTTAAAGAAAAGTTTAAAGCGGGATCGAAAACAGATGAGCGCAGAGAGGAGAGAAGAACAAGCGCAGCGGCAGCTAAAACAGTGAGCGCACGCCACTGCACAGAAAGTATTGAGAGCGAGAGAGGGAGAACAGTTACTCGAGCTATAGAGTGAAAGACAGAAGCGCAACTACAAGAGAGAGCGGTTAATAGTGAGGGCGTACTTACAACAAGAAAAAGCACAAACACACAACTAACCGACGCACAAATTAATACGATTTTAATTTTAAACAAAGTAATAGGCATGCACTCGCGTATTAAGATAGTTAAGAAAAGCGGCAAGCTATTAAATAATTATAGAAGAATTATTTCGAAATAAAACCCGGTGTTTATTCAAAATATAAAGGAAAATACGGAGCGCAAAACAAAAACACGTCTGGTCACTACAAAAGAGAACGAACGAATCTGCAACTCTCATATTTACAGATAGTTGAAGTTTCTTTACATATCTCCACAGATTTAAGGCAAGCGTTTATTTCGTCTGCAGCAGAAGATCTTGGAATGACTGGTAGTGTTTGTCGGAAATCGCCAGATAATAAATGAGGAATGTCTTCCCAGTTCCACCGGCGGCATCCAAAAAAAATAAGCCGCCATATCCATCATCAATTGCATTAATCAGTGTATCATAGACTTCCCTCTGCTTAGGATTCATCAGAGTTACATTCGTTTGAACTGATTGGATTAGTTCATGTGGATCATATTCATGTTCACGTTCCAATTCTCTATTAAATGCGTCATTCATTCCGCGATCTGGCGCTGGCATTCCTAACCTAACTAACAAACTGCCACACATGAGGTAACACATATCTTCGATCAAGAGCAAAGTCTGGTTATGGATCTCCTCATTCACCTCAAGATCGTAATTTCTTGAGCTGACGCGTATTCGATGTAAAATATCTTCGGACTTGGAGATGCAAAAATAATTGTCGTGTCGAACATGTACGATTCAGAAACGCTGCTCGATTCAAACCAGCACGAGTTAAGGTCCTTCTTTTCTCCATATTAACGCGGCGCTGTTCTCGTGCAATTTCAGATAATTGACTCGCGATATTCCGTTGCCTATTGCATTACGGCTTCGCTGGGAAAGATTGGATCTTCTAGGACGCGGCATTGTTATTAAAATGATTAATACAAAATTAAACAAATAAATAAAACAAATATTAAATATGATTAAACAAATACAAATGAACAAATTAACTTTTTAAACTAATTTCTGAACACACACATGATGTCTTCAGAAAAAATAAAGTTTTGGCTTTAAGGCCGCAACAAACAGGCCATAAGTTCTTTTTAAGATATATTCTGCTACTCGCGACGGAAACAAATCCAACAAATCAAAAACCATGGCAATCGGTCCAGCCGTTCTCGAGTTATAAGTGCTTTACAAAATACGACTTTCTTTTCATATAGATAACAAAGACATGTTGATTCATCATCGATTTCAGCACGGGTACTAAACCAACTCCATAATACAAAAGGCATGCGCATACCATGATTCTTGACTCAGCATGTTTATTAGATATAAATATGTGTCAAAAGCTTGGGTTTTTCATTTGATAGTCATTTTATATAAGATCTAAAGTTTTGGCAACAAAAAAACGAGAAGGGACGTGTGAGACGCTTCTTACGCGTCACAACTTTCATACCCGGCACTCAGTACTACATCTGCACCTTACCGGTGTTCTGTCAAATTTTAAATTTTTTCTTCATCTGTCATCTACATCTACAACACTTCTCACACCAACACGCTCCTTTAGCTCGTCGCCCTTCCCTAGACCCACACACTGCAGACTCGCGACAAAAGGCAGAGGCAGCGCACGCACACAAAAAAAAAAACAAATATAAGCTGCGTGACGGGGTGGGTTAAAAGTCGGCAGAGGCACCGGCAAGGGGAGGGCAGAGGCAGAGGCCGAGTGAAGCAGAAGCAGAGTGTGAATGAGAGAATGTAAAAAGAACAACAAAAGCTGCGGGACAGGGTGGGTTTAGCTATAATAATTATTCAATCGGATCCCAATTTGGTGATCTGATAGATATGGTCATTTCCTACAGAATGGCCTTATTAGATTTATTTTCTTTCAAAATTGTAGATTTGGGAGGTTGTCGCCCTTTATCGGGGGCGTGGCTAATTTTTGAAATACACTTGTTTCAGTGTGAGCATACAGCAGCCTGGAGCCAAAATTTGGTGGCTCTAGCTCTTATAGTCTCTGAGAACTAGCCGACAAACAAGACGGACAGACGGACGGGCGCACAGACGGACAGACAGACATGGCCGGGGTCGGAAACGTTTCCTTCTGTGCGTTACATACAACCGTTATTCTCACAAATACAATATACCCTATTTACTCTTCGAGTGCCGGGTATAAAATTGAGTGGTCGCATTTATTTTTGGGGGATGTGGCAGAGTGCCAGACTCCGGGCGGCAATCCGAAAATTACAACAATGATTCGCCGGAATGAATATATATTGCATCTCTCTCTTGGAAAATCCATCTCTGAAAATGTATCTCTACCACACAGCTACAGAGCACACAGCTATAAACATCTACATGTACAGATACTTAAACTAATTTCCTAAGTCGTTTCTCTACAGTTAGTTCTGGCTGCTAGTTTGTTGCTTTTCTGCATTCGATACCTATAATGAAATGTTTTTCGGTCAATTTGATAATGCTCTCGGCCTCTGCGTCTTCTATAAAACAAATTTATGACAGAAAGGCGGCAATAAAGATGTTTGGTTTTAGTTTTATTTCGGCCCCGAAGAAAGCAGCAGCAAAATATACAAAGACGAAACGGCAGAGCGGCGCAGCGGTTGCGGCTGCGACTGAGGCGACTTATCGTCGGTGTAGCCAAAAAAAAATGTATGTGGAGATGGATATTTTATAAATAGTGGGTGTATGTCGTCTCTCCTTCGATCGTTTCGATTGGGTCTTGATTGTGATTTACAGCACTTTGGATATATATTCAAATTTTCAGCGAAACAGAGATTAGCAATAGGGGAAGTAGGGGAATAGCTGCGCCGTCGATCTGTTTATTTGTTCGTTTTATTATGTAAAATGCCTTTCACGGCATTTGGGGTCTATCAATGGGGTCTGCTCATCAACATTCAAATATTCGGCAATCAAACATCGACTCAGCTCTGTCTGCCTACCTCTTTCAAGTCGTTTTTCTTTTCCCTAGCTCTTTCTCTAGCCCTTGCCTTCGTGCATTGTTCATTTGAATTTGCACTAATAAAGCTATTCCATTCCAAATTGAATCCAAAATTAATTGCAAATAAAGCAAGACAGGAGAAACGCAATGTGCCCAAGTGTCAACAGTGGGCCAGGTTATAAAGTGTTATACCAGAAAAGTTGTGTTGTAAAATTTTTATTTTTATTTGTCTTTCAGTTTTCCCTCATTCTTTCATTGGTTTTTCTCGCACTTTTGCACCACTGTTCGCGCACAGCTTGTTCCCATTTGTCTTTGGGGGCCTTTGGCTGGCCTCCTGGTCGTTTGTTTTATGCCTCGCCCTTGCCCACTGCCATGCCCCTGTGCAACATTTCTTCTGCTTTTGCACCACGTGTGCAGCGACGCTACAGGAAAGAGAGACAAACGCATTGCATCCGTCAGTTTTTAATATTTTCCATTTGTTTTTCACTTACGTTATTTATTGACCCACTCGGCGACAGTGGCGCTCGAAGGCGTCTGTCACTCCACCCCCTCTTGCTGCCTTGTGGCTCTCCCTCATTCTATAGGTTGACAAGAACTTGTCATTGACTAAAGCACAGAATTAGCGTATGTTGCCTGCCTCGCAGGCTGTAAATTTTCTGTAAATATTTTTGTGTGTGTCGCTTGGCTGCAATTAATAAAAAGTTGGCGCTGTTGTTCCATCTGCAACGTTGCTTGTTTGCTGTTTCATGTTGTTAATATTTTGTAAATTAATGTTCGATTCAGGAATGCGGACGTTGCAACATGCTGCACAGTCAGCCAGTCAGCCAGCCAGTCGTCTGGCCTCAACAACTTTTTATTGAAGTATAACATTAGGTTTGGCATACAAAATTGGCTCTCTCTTTGAATGGCAGGCAAAACCCCTGCCCCCTTTCAGCACATTAAACCATGAGCTATCAAATGTTGGCGAGAATATGGAAAGAAAATCAAGGGAAACGTCTAGTGTATGGGGAATAACTTGGAAAAATTCATTCATATTCAATCTTCTAAAAATATTGCTCTAAAAATTCCACAAATTTATTTATAAGTTTCCCCATAAACTAAACCAATATTTTGCATGAAAAGCCGCAACTTAAATTTTTTTTATTTTCTTATAGCATAGCCCTAGGCCAAGAGATAGATCCCCAATAATCAGCTGTCTATCCTAACTTAATCCCGTGTAAACTTTAAACATTCTGACACTTGAACATGCCAAGATTTGGGCCCCCATTCCGAAATTTCCCACATAACACATGTTACCATTCCATTTTAATTTTCAAACGAGAACTAACACTAAAATAAATATTATGCCAATTTAAACATAATGATTTATTAGTTTATTTATCTTTCAAATATTTTTACTCATTTCACAAGGGAAGTGCCAAAGACTATGGGAGAGCAGGAGGAGGAGCAGTCACAGCGACCCACGCATTTGACGGATGGTTTGTCAACGAAGAGTCTTCGAACCAAAAAAGAATCCAGAACCATTCGACGGATCTGAGGATGATGCTGTGCTGCAGCTGCTGGTTGTTACCACTGACTGTGGGGTGACATCGAATTTAATGAAGGCGCCGACAGAGATATTGACGAGTCGCGAACTCAAGTGACGCGAATCCCGACAAAATGCGGAAATTCAAGGCGTGGGTGCTGCAATTTCTTTTCTTCTGCAGAGGCAGCACAGAGTTATGTTAATTGTTCACACGTCAATTTGAATCACGACTTACACTTGTCTCTCTCTTGCTCACTCTATTGTTCTTGCTCTTGTCGCATGCGTGGCATTTAAATTATGGTTTCTCGGGTGAAAATCGCAATTATCGTTTTTTATTATGATTAAATGGCAGGAGTCCCAAAAAAGTGGAGAGAGAGGAAAGCATCAAGCATCAAGAAATGCTTTTTAAAATGTAAGAAATTTCCTTTTTTATAATTTTTATTAATTTTCACGCATCATCTAGCAAATATTTTATGATGATGGAAGCGTTCTTTTCACTCTCGCGAGCCCCGTAATTGTTCGTGTCGCTAGGAACAACAAGTTAATTAATTTGGCTAAATGAATGTATCTTAATGGGGGAACAACATGTTTAATGGCTTTTTAGGCGCTTTTGTCACACAGCAAAGAGATATCTCAAGAAAGATTGAACGGGCAGACATAGCAGAGAATGACAAAGAGAAGGAAAGAAAGGGAAAGGCATGAAAAAAAGATAAGTTGGCCTTGGTATGACTCAATGATAAAACATTTTACCATTGTAGAAAAATATTAGCGATAATTATCTATAAGTATAATATTATAATCGAAAATCACTAGGGACTTATCCACTATTTATGATAATTATGAAGTATCATCGATCGGTGGCTTTCGATAATTTATTAGCAACTACATATTATTGATAAGCATATGGGATAATCGATATTTGTATCTTCTGTACTAAAAATTAAATATCTTTTATCGGTAAATATCGTTGAATATATGTAATCTGATTTTATATGATTTCGTATGGGTAGCATCTTTGTTTCATGTCATAAACTCATCTATATAACACCATAATAGCCAAAAACGTGTCATTGTTAATTCATCCACTGAATTGTATTCCTTATATATATTCATTTTCTTTCTATTTGTAGAGCTAAAGCATTCCCCTTTCATTAATTTTCTGACCAATTTAAACCTATTTTGCCTTTCTAATTTCTGGATCAGATATTGACAAAATGACAACTGTCAAATAATTTCAGCTGCGAGCAAATGTTGAAACTCATTAAACAACCAAAAACCCCTCCCCTCCCTCATTTCCCGAATACCAAACGCTGACAATGTCAAAAAAAAAAAAGTTATCTCTAATTAGAAATAATCCGGAAAATGGTTGTGTGCCAGTCACACATTTTGATGGCAATGTGCTCTACTCAAAATTGAAAACGACATTTACATTTTGGCAATTTTCAAAATATTAAGTGTCCAATTTTTGCTGCATAATGTAACTCACCACCCCTTTCCCATGACATGTGGCACTGTTGGAGGGGGTTCCATGTGAGGGTTTTTGGGTGGCTTTTGTGCGGACTTGAGGGGTGTTTCACTGAGCTGATCATTTTTCTGTTTGCATGATGATTTTTTGTGGGTTTGTTTCTAAAATAGCAATTCCGTTCTTTGTCACTTCGAGGGCTTTTCATTTGGGCGCCTTTTTTTTGGATTGCCGTGTCATGTGTGTGTGAGTGGTGGGCGTGGCACTTGTAATTAAGCTCGACACTTCATTGTTTGGCCACCCTGGGCATCCCTTTCCATTCAGTTGTCATGGTTCAA